GGGTAGGTAGGATGACGAGTTGTTCAAGTTACAGTGTATGCTTGTGTGAGAGTGACTTTATGTAACACAGTACCATGTACAGTGAATATATACAATACAAACAAGAAACCAAACAACCAAAAGCATCAGGCGTCAAAGAGAACCACTGAAAGGAAAACAGCTTGGTCGCAGGCCAGGAATTAATGATCCAGGGGAAACGCTCCTTTATTTCAGTTAAAAACTCAAGATTAGACACAGGAGGCTAAATCCTGAAGGAAATTTGTAAATGCCTCAGGGGGTCTGTCCTAGTTAATCCCAAGCGTTTTAGGATAGAGAGGCGCCTTCATGTTTTGCAATCTAGACGCTGCTTCTTCTGGCCCCATCTAGCAGACGGGTTCTGTGAGTGAAACAGAAAGGGGCATAGTTGCAGGCGAGACATCATCCTTACAGCAGGAAAGGACAACTCGGCACAAGCCGAATCGCCCCACGACTACAACATCTACACAACCTGCAACCACCAGCAACAAAAACCCGCTGAATAGCAAACCTCCACAGCCCAGTTCCGATAGCCCCGCCCCTCGACGCCCATTGGCTTGTGGCTTAGACGTCAGGGCCAGAGTTTATCTCTTATTGGGCCAGACAGAGCCTTGAGGGGGAGTGAGGAAATGAGGGCCTGGAGACAGCAGCTAGCTCCGCCCAGGAGGTGGGCGGGGGGCCGGACCAGGGCCTGGCGGGACTGGGGGGAGTGCGGGGGGGGATGCTTCTGGGGAGGGCGGCCATGGCGGCTGCGCGGCGACAACGGCGGCTGCGTCGTAGCGCGCGCCTGGCTTTGAATGAGCGGAGCAGGGACTGAGCTGGCGGAGACCGAGCTCGAGGCAGCGACCGGCAGCGCGCGTGCGCGGCCCCTGTGCGCGCGCGGCCCGCGGCAGCTCGGAGCCTCCGCCGGGCGGGCGGGGTGGGGGAGGGGCAGGTGAGTGTGTGTGGCTTGCGCGCGCCCGCGAGGGGCTTTCTTCTCCCCCACCCGCTTCCCGACCCCGGCCTCCACTCGAGGTCTGTGGCCGCCTTTCCCGGGCACCCCGGCGGCCCATACTTCCTGCCGTTCCACCTTCCTCTGGGCCCCTCCACCGCGACCTCCTTTTCCGCCCGGCCTCTCGGGGGTACTGTTTCCGGGTCAGGGTGACCTGCGGGGTCATCCCCGTGGGGCTGGGACCGCGGCAGGCCGTGTGCCCTCCCGATGCAGCTCCCACGCGTGGGAGACTGGCCTGCGAGGCGGCGGCTGGGAGGAAGCCCAGTGCTCAGTTCCCCCGAAGGGCAATGTGCGGCCCTTCCTGCACCCCTCTACCGGCCTTGCCCCACTGGGGCAGATTTTCCCCAAGTTGACATTCCGGTCCACCCGGCACCCACAGCCAGCAACTTAGAGCTTCTCACGTGACGCCCGTCGTCGGGCGTGGGGTTGTGTAACCTGCAAACGCGCGTGTTTTGCTCATCTGTGCAGTTGGTATGCTTTTTTTTCTGCGTCAGCAAACTTTAGGTGGGTAATCTGAATATTAGTTAGGAAACTCAGTGATTCAGAAGAGGTTGCCCACCTGGGTAACAGTCGCAGTGATGTCACATATGTGAGGGCCTGCAGGGACGGGATGTGCCATTTTACCAGAGCTTTCAGAACACTTGTTTACCTTCTCTCTGGTGCTGCCCTTACGGTTTTCAAATTTGATTTCAGGCAAATTTTATTTTGGAGCTTTGTGACCGATAACTTTAGAGAGTTACAGATTTAGCATGTTCTGTGTTATATAGATCATAGAACATTCACGTACTGGTATGAAAGACTCAGAAATACAGTTTTTAGAAACACAGCACTGGATGACGTCCTTAGTGCATACCAAGTATCTTCATGATTTGTGATATAATTGAGTCTGTACGCCAGGATCTGGGGTACTTTACTTGGAATCTCAAAGAGACGTTGATTGGATCATGCCAGATTTTTTTTTCTTCTTCTTCCAGTTGTAGGGCAGTCTTTTTCCATTGACACAACAGAACTCTGATTCCTATTGATTTTTCAGAAATGCCATTTCTCCAACGGCCTTTCTCTGGCATATTTCAACTCTGTATTTTCTTAGTAATTTTAAGGGGAACATTTTAATATTTGTTGTTTTTATGTGTATGAGTGTATTGTTGCCAGTATGCATGTAAATGCATGGGTGTCATGCAGTGCTGGCTGAGGTCAGAAGGCATTAGATGCCCCTTAAACTTATGGCAGGTTGTTAGACACATCCATGCGGGTGATGGGAATTGAACCTGGGTCCTTTGCAGAAACAACCACTGCTCTTTAACCTCCGAGCCATTTCTCCAGCCCTGAAATGTCATTTCTCTAAAAGCTTTCCTATGGCATATCTCAAGTATTCCTACTAATTTAGGGGAAAAAAAATTAAACGAGTATTTTAATAGTAGAGTATTCCAGTATTGCCAATTCTAGAAGGTATTTTTAAAGCATCCCAATGCCAAGTTGCATATGTTACACACATTATTTTCCAACTGATGCTCTATAGGCCATTTCAGAAACCACACTGAAGTAATTTGGGTAAAATTAGAATGGTTTCAAGTAGAAAAGATGTGGGGGAGCCTGATGGAATTCTAATCCTGGGTGAATTCACCCATGTTTAACTTAGGCAATCCTGGGCCTCATCTGTTAAATGTGAATAATGAAACTTGAGGGCTGAAGAAATGTGTGTTTTTATTTGTTTGTTTTTTCATTTAAGGAATAGTTAAGCACCTATACACCTGGCATTAGGTGAGATCTAGATATAACAAACGCAACAACACTGGTTGGGATCCTACCTTTCTAGGCTCTTTTCCATTTGAACAAGAGTAAAGATAGGAAGATACTCATGATAGTTGAGTAGCTGATGAGTTTCTTTGTACCCAGATGTGTTTCTCATAACTTGTGTAACATCTGTTACATACTAGATGCTAATATATATTCATTTTAATTGCAGCATTATGTTTAGATTCTGAATACTATTCTTATATGCAAATCAGTGTAGTTGATGTAAGTCAAGTACTGCTTAATTGCTTGATTGCATTTTTCCCTTATCAGTGAAACTGGTTGAAATTTTTATCTTGAGAAAGTTATAAAATCATTGATTGCTAAGAATGTCCATTGCTAGATATTCTTGACTTTTGAATTAAATAGATGTAGGTTTGAATGCAAGCAGTTGTAGGAACATGGAAATGTGCTTACTCGGCCTTTGATTCTGTGAAATGTGGACAGTAATACCTATTTCATCAGAAATAAGTTCTGTGGGTTAAATGAGCTAATATTTAGATAGTGCTTGGTTCACCACAGTCACCACAAATTTTCACCAAGTGAGAATAAGCTCAGTTGCAACGCAGAGATTCTATTTTATTAATAATCGATTTTCTGTTTTGCCATTTAAACTTTATATTTCATTTCCAATTTTTGTTGAAGTCATTGAGGTGACAAATATTTAGTAATGACACTAAGAATATCTGTGAGAAGATGGTAGCTGCAGTTACCAAGGTTCTGTGTGAAGTTTGTTGTCAGCTTTTCATTCATTCAAATCCTCCCACTGAATCCTGTCCACATTCCCAACATAGTAAAATTCTTCTTTCAAAAAGTCTTGCTGGAGTATCTCTTCTGTTTATTTCCTTTCCCAATACTGTGTGCTAAGATTTCTGACTACTGTTTAAATAAATTTTCTTAAAATTTAATTTTTTACTGTAATTTTTATTAGTGTATATTGACTGTACAACACGTGACATTTTCTACCTGTATATAATGTAATCTGATGATACTAACTCACCCATTACTCTCCTATTCTCCTCCTGCTTGTCTGTTTCCTCTTCCCAAATAATGCCCAGGTCTATTTTTCCTGTCCTTTATTAAAATTTAGCTGCTACATAGGAGAAAAAAAAAAGGGGGGGGCTATCCTTGTCTTTCTGAAAATAGTTTATTTTACACAATGTGATGATTTCCCTTTCCACCCATATTTTTTTGAAGGACATGAGTGCTATATTAAATTTTGTCTTTAGTAAGTTTGCTTTTCTTTTTGTTGACATTTGTGTTTGTTTTTTTTTTTAATACAAATCAGCTTTAAATGAAGCCTTTATTAACTTGTTTTAATTGCTTGGTTCATTCTGCTTAAAAGGAGGAGTGTAGTCTTTCAAGTCTTCCATTGCAAATGGTATTTGAACGTACCAGTGTGCAGGGCAGGTAAAGTATATAGACTTTACTGTAGTATGAAATAAATAAAAATAAATTTCTCAGTAAGAGAGAAACATGAAAATTAAAGAATTAAGTTAGCCCACCAAGAAGTAAAAAAGGCTTATGCCTAGTTGACAGCATTGGAAGTAGGAAGATTGGGAAATTAAATAAGGTTTATAAGCCACTTGAGAGAAACGAGTCAACAGTGCTGAATTTTTGAAACCAAGTAAATCACTTTTGGAATATATTTGACAAAAGAATTTACATCATTTGAAGGAAATGTTTAACATTCCCCTGGTTTGTTTCCTTCTGAATCACTGTTCTTTGTACTTTCTCAATTGTAGGGTGGTTAGACATTCAATAAATCATTCAGTTCAGATGACAGTCTTCAGATGCACAAAAACACATGAGCATTGCTAGGGGAACCTTTTGGAACTTTGCATTGTACCTTTAGTAGTTAGTATCTACAGAGCAAATAATATCAGGGACCATGAAATGTAAATGTGCTTTCTCTGCTTTCTTGTTTTCTTTTTTCTCTTTCCTTAGTTGTTTACTTCCTTTGGTTTGTGTGTTTGGCTATGTGTACAGTGCCACCCATGAGTTCCCTCACATTGAGAGGGTTTGAAGTCCAATTAGGTAGCTGTTGTTTACCCCCAAGGTAAAAATGCCACTACTGCCCCAATGTAGTTTGCTGTGCCAGTCACTGTTGTGGTTATTAGGCTTTAAAGCTGGGATTGGATCATTCTTTGATTTACCTCCTTAGCAGCTTGCATAATTCCCTCCAGGACTGAGAGCTAGTCTTCAGGGAGGAGGCTTCCAGGTCAGTTCTAGCTCCATTACTCCTAGTCCTGTGTCTGAAGTATGCCCTGTCTTTAGCAATAAATAGGGTCTTACCTTCAAATTCTGAGACATAATCAGGGGCTGTGGCAACAGCCTGTGTAATTTTGAGAGTCTCTTGGACTATCCTGGCCAACAACTCAAAGGAGGCTTCTCCTGTCTGGTACCGTGTTCCTTGTTATATAGCCTTCAGGTATACATATGCACTAATGTTCAGATATTGTATGTGTACTTTTCAGTAGGTTTTTGAATTAGCACATTTCCCTCTATTTTTTCATACCACCTGTACTCCATTTATCTCTCTTCTTTCACTCCATGTCTAACCTCCCGGTTAAAGTATCCTCATTTTCCCTTGATAATGCCTGTCTCTTATGATCTCCACTCTCTTGAGTTCCTTCTTCCCCTTTACCCCCATGGATCCTTATTTGGCCTACCCTTCTCCCTTCCCTTTGAATATCCCCATTTTCCCAATTTCACCCTTGGTAACATCTCTTTCCTACTATCCCCATCTCTTGGGCTCTTTCCCTTTACCTCTGTGCTTCCTTTCTAGCATATATGCTCAGGTATAAGGATTTGGCGATAAGATCCACAAAGAAGAGAGAACATAAGAGAACATATGTCACTTGTTGAAGTCTGTGTTACTTCACTTAGTGTAACAGTTTCTGATTCCATCCATTTACCTGAAAATTTGATGGTTTCCTCTTTTTTTACTGCGGAATAGAACACAATTATGTAAATGTACCACATTTTCATTATCTATTTGTCACTTGAGGGACATTTAGGTTCTTTCCATTTCTTAGCTATTGTGAAAAGAGCAGCAACAAACACAGATGTACAAGTATCTCTGCAGTAGGATGAGTCCTTTGGGTATATGCCAAGGAGTAGTATAATTGTATCATATGGTAGATTGATTTTTAGTTTTTTAAGAGTTCTCCACACTGATTTCCATAGGGTTTGCATGAGTTTGTAATCCCATCAGCAGTGAATGAGCATTTTTCTTGACATCCTTGTCAACATTTGGTGTCCTTTACTCTCTTGATCTTGGCTACATGAAATCTTAAAGTGATTTTGATTTGCATTTCAGTAATTACTAAGGATGTTGAAAACTTATTAAGGTGTTTCTTAGCCGTTTTTATTTCTTTGCTTGAGAACTCTCTATTCAGGTTCTTAGCCCATCTTTTTATTGGGTCATTTTTTTTCTTTGATTTTTTTTTAAGTTTTTTTATATATTCTGGCTATTAATCATCTGCCAGATGTGTAGCAGGTGAAGATTTTCTTCCACTCAGTTGGTTTCCTCTTCACTTCTTTGATTGTTTCTTTTGTCCTGCAGAAGCTTTCAGTTTTTTGAGGTCCCACTTGTCAATTGTTGACCTTAATTCCCAAGCAACTGATGTCCGATTTAGAACGTTCTTTCCTACACCTGCATCTTGGAGGGTACTTCATATTATTTCTTCTAGCAGTTTCAGAGTTTCAGATTTCATAGTGAGGTCTTTGATCCATTTCACCTTTTCTAGCAGGGTGAAAGATAAAAGTCCCATTTCATTCTTCTACAGGTAGAGGTCCAGTTTTGCTAACATCATTTGTTGAAGATGTCTTTCCTCCAGTGTGTGTTCTTGGCACTTTTGTCAAATACTGAAATTGCATGCATTCATGTTTTAATCTTCTGTTATGTTCCATTGATTATATGTCTGTGTCTGTGCCAGTACTATGCTGTTTTTATGACTATGTGATATAGTTTGAGATCTGGTATGGTGATGCCCCCAGCATTGCTTTTTGTTCAAGATTGCTTTGGCTATCCAGGGTCTTTAGTGATTCCATATGAATTTTAGAATTTGTTTTTCTAGTTCTGTGAAGAATATGATTCCATATGAATTTTAGAATTTGTTTTTCTAGTTCTGTGAAGAATGTCATGTGGATTTTGATTGGCATTGCATTGAATCTATAGATTGCTTTTGGTAGGATGGTCATTTTCTCAATATTAATTCTACCAGTCCTTGATCACAGGAGAGTCTCCCATCTCCTGGTGTCTTCTTCTATTTCTTCCTTCAAATATTTAAATTTTTCATTGTAGAGATCTTTAATGTCTTTGGTTAGGTTTATTCCTAGGGTTTTTTTTTTTTGTTGTTGTTGTTTGCTATTGTTTGTGCTCTTGGTATTATTTTGTGTTTCTATAATTATACCTTCCTTTCTTTTCTTTCTGTAACATCTTGGGTATAGCCATTCCTAGCTTTGATCCTTTCTGTTGCTTTGAGTGTTCTCTGTTGGGCTGGTTTGGTGGACATGAGTTCTTTCAGCCTATTCATGTCATGGGAAATTTTTTGTTCCCCTTTGACTGTGATAGTTTTGCTGGATAAAGTATTCTGTGTTGGCTTTCATAGGAATACTTTGGTTCAGGCTTTTCTGACTTTCATAGTTTGCATTGAAAAGTCAGCTGTAATTCTGATGGGTTTTCTTTTATACTTAACTAGTTTTCCTCTAGCATCTCTCAGTACCCCTTCTTTGTTTTATACATTTAGTTGTTACTATGATGTGCCATGGGGAGTTTTGTTCTGGTCCTGTCTAATGGGTGTCCTATGTGCTTCTTGTATCTGTATAGGTGTGTCTTTCCTCAGTTTCTCTTGGGGAAATTTTCTTCTGTAACCCTGCTGAAGATGTGGTCAATGCCACTGACCTGAGATTCTTCTTCTTCCTCTTTGCTTATGATGTATAAATTTGGCCTTTACATGGGGTCTCACATTTCCTACATATTCCATTTCTGTGTTTTTAAATTTTTTCATATTCTGTGCTTGTGTGTTCCAGTTCTTCAACTGTGTTGCCCAATCTTGATATTCTGTTTTCCATTTCATTCATTCTTCTTGTGAGGCTTTCTCCTGTCTTGTTTCAAATTGACTTAATTGAATTTTTCAATTCCATCTTCATTTCAGCTTGCCTTTCTTCAGTATTTCTATCTCTTTTGCGAATTCATTGTTCAAGTCCTGAATTGTTCTTGTCATTTCATTCAGTCTTATATTTGTATTTCCTTGAGTTTCAGTCATGAATTTATACCTATACTCTGAGTCCTTTGTGTTGTTTGTACATTCTTTAAGTTCTTTAATAAGGTTTTTGGGTTTGTTTTTTTTTTTTAATTCTGCATCTGGGGTTTTTCAGGGTGATTCTCATTGTAGTACACATCTGTAGGACTGATGGGATTTGTTGGGTACATTTTCTCTTGGTTTTTCATATTTCTGTTTTTATGTTTTCATTTGGGCTTATGGATATCTTGTGTTGGTTGTGTGTCTGATATGAAATTCTAGTCTGCCTCTGTTTAGTTGAAGTTTGGTTCTGTTTATAGTCTTAATGTAGCTTGGTTGCTTTTTGCTCAGGTATGAAAAAAGTTAGTTGGTGTGCTTCAGGTTCTTGATTTTGATTTTTTATTAGTGGGACAGGATGATTCTAAGATGATTAGTGACATGCTCGCCAACAGGGTGAAGGGAATCCAAGTCAGGGTAGTAGGCAGGTCTGTGGAAGGCAAATCAGGAGGCCAAGGGCAAGGTCTGGGTGGGTACAGCCTGTGGAGGATCTAACAAACTAAGCTGGAGATTTCAGCTAGTCTGGGTGGAGGGGGTCAGTACACAGTGGACAGGGTCTGGGCTAAGAGGCTACTCTGAGGTGGGAAGAGTAGGAGCCTAGGCCCAAGGGTAGAAAGGAGAGAGCATGGGGAGAGAGAATGGAGCTGCTCAGGGTTCAGGGAATCAAGGCACAGTGGGTGGGGTCTCAATCTGGATCTCTTTTATTTCTCTGCCTACTGCGTGGCTGAACTGCTTAGTATCTTCTATAGTGTTAATACCCGTGGTAAATGTGGACATACTTAGGTCATTCATCGTCTTGGAAGTTGGGAGTTGTGTCCACATTTTCACCATTAAGCTGCGTATTACTGTAGGTTTTTCGCATATTTCCTGGATAAGGGTGAGAAAGTTCCCTTTTATTTAGAGTTGCTGAAGCTTTTACCAGGAATGGACGTTGAAGTCTATTAAAGATGTTTTTGTCTGTCTCTTGAAATGATCATATTTTTAAGTGCATTAATATGGTGATTCTGTATGATTTTTCATGTTAGGTCAGAAATGCTATGTTAAGCACCACTTGGTTTTGTCATGTTATTCTATCTACCTTTGGATTCAACTTATCAGTATTTTGTTAAGGAGGTCTTTGTATTTATAACAAATCAATCTCTATTATTTTTTTTCTGGTAATGTTCTTGTCTCATTATTTGTATGATGTTGGCATCAAATAGTAACTTGAAGAATAGTCCCTCTGTTTTGGTGTTTGTGTAAAATTGGTATTGCAGTTTCCTAAGTGTTTGGTAGAATTTAGCAGAGAAATCATCTGGGCCTTGAAGGTTTTTCATTATAAATTCAGTTTACTGAATGAAGAGATTTTGGAGGTATCTGCTGCTGCCTCTTGTACCTTAGTAATGGGAATTTGCTTAGACCATCTCAGTTATCCAATATAGATATACATTACTTAGAATGTTTTCCCCAAATCCTTCCAGTAACTGAACTCTCAAAATGCTGCCTCCCTGATATATGGCACTGGGAACATTTTTGACATATGTTCTCTTTTGTTATGTATTTTTGATTGATTTATCATTTTTCTAGAGTCTGGTATTAAATTAGTTACTTCAGCTTTCTTTTGATTAGTGCTCACATAGTGTTTTTCCCATTTCTGTCATTTGTTTCTTAAATGTATTTCTTGGCCACATTTTTTTAATGCACTGTATAAATTTTTATGCAGTTTAAATTTTTTTATACACTGTAACAATGTCTGCCTTTTTATTGAGGTACTAAATTTTCATGTACTGTTATCATTTGTTATCATAATTAAGTTGTAGCTTCTGTAATTTGTTTTCAGTCCTATCTGTTTCTTATTTTGTGTGGGTGTGGGTATGTGTTTCTGTTACCTTTTCTATTGAATAGTCTACCTTTGTTAACTTATTGACTGTCACTTGGTTATTGCCTCTCAGAGACTGTAGTCTGATGGACTTTCTAAGTGTAGGTTCAACTGTCAGTGTCTCTTTGAACAGTTCTTTAGATTTGTAAACCACTGGACTAGGTGGGCTTTAGCATAAATTACTTTGAACTTACTAGCTATGTGAATTTGAACAAATTATTTGACTCACCTTAATTCAGTTTCTTAATGTGTAAAAAGGGTATAATGAAAAAAGTCTATATGAAGATTAAAATGTTTAAAATACTTCGAATAGTACTATGTTGATATAGAGTGAACTTCAAAAGATACAGAAAGATTTAATCTATAGTAAGTCAAAGTTTTTCAATTTTATGTAAATTTGTACTAAGTTATTTAGGCAAAACAATTTTCAAAGACAGAATGAAAGGAATTGCTACCTCATAACTATTGAAAACATTTAAAAATTAGTTTCCTAAATAGTTAATATGATTTTAAAATTTAACGTGTATATACTTGTAATTTTTAGAGAAAAAATACATCAGATTTCTCTCAGTATATAAGAACTTTTCAACTTGGGTTTAAAAGAGGAATGTGGCTTATGAAGTCTATTTAATGAATCACCTTTCTGTGTGTGTGCCTTTTCCACAGGTTTTGATTCTCACAATGGCCATCACTCAGTTTCGGTTATTTAAAGTTTGTACCTGCCTAGCAACAGTATTCTCATTCCTAAAGAGATTAATATGCAGGTAAATGATTTCTACCTTTAAACTGACCCATTTATCTCCTCACTTCTTTGGATTACTTAACTGTAAAAGACAGGAAATATTTATACTAGCTGTCCTGTTTATAATATTAACTAGGCTTTTAAAAAAACAATTTTTTCATGTCTGAAAAGCAGGAATTCAGTTTTGTTCTGTCAGATTTTTACGTCTTCCATTTAAACTTATTAAATACAAATTTCAGAAAGAAGCAGACTAACTTTAAATATAATCACAGGTATTACGTATTGTCTCATGGTTGAAATTTTTTAAAGCATTTTTAAAACATGGTACACAAAGTTAGGAATAGATTATCTCTATTGATTCAACCATATGGATGTTGTTTTCATGTTTAGTTTTAAAACTTTCAACAGAGAAACTGAAGGTGGGCCAGAGTAATTTATTTGACTTCAGTAAATTGTCCTTAGATTCCAGATCGTTCTGTCTTATCACATGACCTCCACAAGCTATGACCTCTCAACTCACCACAGAACTCATAAGGCTGCTCTAAAATATTTGAACATTTCCATCAGAACACAGCAATGGTCAGTAGCTGTTGAATACTTTATGGTATCTCAATTCAGAGTAGTTTATATTTGTAACACTTGGCCCTGCAGCTTATGATGGGCATTCTTAATGCTTGAGATAAGTTTTTGGTTACATCTTTGCATGAGGTTCTTAGGTTGTAATTAAAAGTAAGTACTGCACCAAAATTTAAATCAGAAAATAAGTGTGGTAGTCTAATTTCAAGGCTTGAGTAGCTATGCAGTGTCCAAAAGGCACACACATTACACTAATAAACATTTATTTGTTATTTATTAAATTTTTTTGAGACAGGATCTCCTGCTTGTAGCCTTACTTGGCCTGGAACTCGCTATACAGACCAGGTTGGCTTCTATCTCACAGAGATCTGCCTGCCTCTGCCTCCCAAGTGCTGGGATTAAACACATGTACCACCACACCCTGCTAGTAAAAAAATGATTTTATTCCAAATAAAAATACTGATTGTTACTTCTTTGCTTTATTTTTTAAAAGAATTCTCACTCTTTCCCAGATATTTCTTCGTAGTCTACACGTCCCTCAAATGCACTCCTCCTTTCTCAGCTGTCTGAATGCTCTTTTAAAAAGTGTGTATTTGTTTTTGTGATTGACTACTAAGAATGCAGGCCATATATAAGTATTAAATTGTTTGGATCTAACTGCTTAATCAGTGAAACTGTTGGGTATTTCTTTTGGCATAGTATAATGAGGAAAACTTTTTGACACATTTAAGATAAGGTCGAATAAAAGAAGATATAGATGGTAATCATATTTTTTGTTTGGTTTGGTTGATTTATTTTTTGTTTGGTTGGGCTTTTTGTTTGTTTGTTTTTAGTGGATATGTTTTAGAAGTTACATGCAATTCTAGTCTGAGTCCCTTACTGTTCAGAACTTAGTCATATGACCACCAAGTGGCAAGGAAGGCTAAGAAATGTAAGCTAGCCGCCATGATAGCTGCTCAGACTTTGAGAATTAAGTACTATTGAATTTATTTCTAGAAGGAGAATGGTTTGGGACTAAGAAGATTCAGAGTATTGTGAATGAAATGAAATGGAATAGAAATCATCACTGGTACATGAGAAGTCAAGAAAGAAATGGGAAAATTGGGGTGGTTGACTATTGAAATTACCAAGGACTACTGATTTGTGAAGTACAAAAAAATTGGTGTAATAAATGCCCAAATCAAAGAAGGAAGAAGAATGGCCAGAAATTATCTAAGGGAGGCAGGAAAAGAATGAGCATCAATAACAGGAAGAAGGTTAAAAGAAGCGTGAAATTGCTAATGTTCCTGTGCTTATTCTGGTGGGTCTTGAAATCTATCCTACTTCTTTCAGATCTGGCCGAGGAAGGAAATTAAGTGGAGACCAAATAACTTTGCCCACTACAGTTGATTATTCTTCAGTTCCTAAGCAGGTATTTTTTAAAATTATGTGTTCCAAAACACTGTTTTTCAAACTTAACTGCATAAAATTAAATTGGTTGTCAAGACTTTTGTTGATTATCTTACTATTTTTCAGTTCTTTAATTTTCTTTGGTTCTTCTGTTATAGTCTATTTCTTTGCTGACATTTTCTATTTCCCCCCCTACACTGGTTTCAAGTATTTGCTATTACTTTGTGGAAGTAACATTTTTATATTTAAAATTTTTAGATATTTCCAAGATTTATATCATGTTAGGGTTAGTATCTTTTAATTTCCATGTGAAATGAGATTTATAGGTTCCTTATATATTGAAAAAATCTTTTTTGTTTCTTGAGCATTTGAATATTATGTTTTGGGACTCTTATTTAAACCGTGTGGTGAATGTTGATAAGTATTTTTTCATCAGGTAATCGGTTTTGTTAGACTTGAGTGGAAAGTTCCAGTCCCCTTCTATGGGCTGTAGATAAAATGTTCAGTTTTCAAAACCATTTGTTTGACCAATATTTTGGTATGTGATTTGAGTTGTGTTCAGAAAGTTTGAAAACAAGATTGAGATGTTCATTTGGTTGTTCCTTAGTGGCTGATAATTTGATCAATTCATTTTAGACAGATGTGGAAGAGTGGACTTCCTGGGATGAAGATGCTCCTACAAGTGTCAAGATTGAAGGAGGGAATGGGAATGTAGCAACACAGCAGAATTCTTTGGAGCAACTGGAACCTGACTATTTTAAGGACATGACGCCAACCATAAGGAAAACTCAGAAAGTATGTTGAAGATTTGTGCTTTGGGAAGTTAAACTAAGATTACCACAGTTAAAACTGGACAGTATAATTTTTATTTATTAGTGAGCCCGATTATGATTATCATTTTGTTTTCTGTCACATTAAGAATTTTTATATATTCACAAGACCCAGACATAGATCTAATAGTTTATATCTCCAATTCTTCTGGCATAACTAAGCTGAAATTCTATTACATCTTAGATACTAGGCTTTTGTCTCTGCTGTGGGAGACTTAAGCCAATTAAAATAGTTTTAATAAGTTCCAGTTCACATCTATATCTATGCCTTGTGCCCGAAGGCTCAAGGATCGTTTGGGAAGAGGGGCAGAAAGATTTTTAAGAGCCAGTGGTGGTAGATAACTATAAGGAAACTGTTTTCCAGACAGCAGGGTAGTTAACTTATACGAATTCACAACAATTATAACAGCATACCTATGTAAGTGCAGACCAGACAGATTCCTGTCATAGATGGAGGAGGTTGATAAGAAACACCAGTCATAACTGAGAAACTATTAGCCACTGATAGCACTGGGCACATTAGCCAGTCTCCAGGGGATGTACCCATACCAAGAGCATTGGGGACACAAATTATATTTGATAGGAAATGATAATGATAATAATAATGATAAACATGAAATCAGGCAGTGAGATGGAGCAGTGAGATGGGCCTTAAGGGATGATGCAGATAGAGAAGGGGATCTGAATATGATCAAAATACATTCTATGAAAATCTCAATTCATGAAAAATATTAAAACAATTTTAAAAAACACAACTTTGCAGCTTGATAGTATCTTTAAACTGATAAGTAACTTCCTATTATTTTATTGTGTACTAGTTGTAAACCGTGGTAAAAAAATGTACAGTTGCTCTAAGTCTTAGAGTAATTGTTGTGGGTTTGTTAATCATTCACATTTCAATTCCTTCTTTTTAATACAAGTTTTTGTTTATTTTCTGGGTATGAATGTTTTGCCTGTTTGCGTGTTCATTGCACCCATGTCATGCAATGTCTGCAGAGTCCAGAAGTGGGCATCAGGTCCCCTGGAACTGGAGTTGCAGACAGTTGTTAGCCATCCTGTGGGTGCTGGAAACCAAACCTGAGTCCTCTGGAACAACAGCCAGTGCTCTTAACTGCTGAGCTATTGCTTCAGCCCCTTCCATTCCTTTTAAGTTAACTATGAGATCACTTAGAAAGGCAGAGAATTACTGGAAAGAGCACAGTGGCTATTTTCTTGTCTTTTTTTTTTTTTTAAATCAAAATATTACTTATTTAAAATCAAAGAATTCTGAGGGCCTTATAATAAAACATGACAGACTTTGTCCCATTATTCTTAGCCAATTCCGGTTCCCAGAAGCTGTCATTTAATAACCTTTTCTGCTTGTGTATTTTCTCTTTGTCAGTACATCATACATAACCGTTTCTTAATTTACCAGTCACACACATTGTCCAGTCATATCATACTATGCTAAATGAGGATTCATTTCTTCTTCATTTCCATCTAATATTGTAATGCTATTCCAAAGTCTGCTCTTCTTTTTCAGAGAAATATACTCAGTGTTCTAATTGTTACATAGTCAGACATGGAAAACTTTTCATACATATATTTGTGTGTGTATATCTGTATACATATATTTTTTTTATGAAATAAAGACATTATTCTACACTTCCTAATATACTTCATTTTCTACCTCAGTCACTTTCAGCTACATATATTACATGTATTAAAATGGTGCTTAATTAAAATATATTTTATTTATTATTTTTATTTTACTTTATGAGAGTATTGCCTGCATATATGTAAGTGGACCTGTGTCATTGCAATGCCCATGGAGTTCAGAAGAGGGTGTCAGATCCCCTGGAACTGGAGTTACAGACAGTTGTTAGCTGCCATGTGGGTACTGGGAACCGAACCCAGGTTCTCTCCAAGGGCAGCTAGTGCTCTTAACTGCTGAGTCATTTCTCCAGCCACATAATCATGCTTAATTAAGATGCTGTTGCTTTTGTAAAACTTATGAAGAATCAAGTAAATATATCCTGATACTAGTGGCCTGGAAGAGTTAATGTATTCATAGATATCCCACACGTTGATTGTTAGTTATACTTTTTGTAGGCCATATTAGACATTTATTATTTACTTCAGTAACTAAAAGTATCTAGTTATATTTGGGGAGCCTGAATACAGTAAGGAGAGGAAAAAGATGAAAACTTTTTAAGCAAGATGCAATTTTTCTTGATATGAAACTGATTTATGTCGTATTTGCCTGGGAATTTTTATACTATTTACAGATTTT